AAGATCCCTTTGCCGTAGTTCCATTTAGATTCTGCTTCAATAAAAAGCTCAAAAGTGAAATAAATGACATATGCTTCTTGCAAGGAGTACCATTCAAACCAAAAGTTAGAAAAAGAAAACCAGTTGGAAAACATAGGAAATTGGTACAGAAAGAACAACATTTAACCCTCCAAATAATCACGAATTTTTCTTTTTGGATTATAAAAAAAGAAAGATCAATTTGCTAAAAATAACTACTAACATATAGTGAGTGCGAAAGAGTCCATGATTGATTGACTGCTTGAAGATCCCTTTGCAGTAGTTCCATCCAGATTCTGCTTCAGAAAGGCGCTCAAAAGTAAAATAAATAACAATACGCCTCTTGTAAGGAAGGAATCATACCATTGCTCCAGCATTCGGAACATATTCTAGTCTCGGTTGGAACGATAAAGTTTTTCCTTTCATGGACTGGTGACCTTCTGAGCACAATGGAGGCGGACGAGATCGCACCAGAAAACTTGTTCCGATAACAGAGAATATAGAATAAGTCTTGCCTAAACTACTTGCTAATCCACATAAAATGAATAAAATTCGAATCAAATCAAACAATTATGGCGTGTTGACGGCAAAGAGCAAGGGCACCAAATGCCTTGAAGTCACTAACTATTACCATTTTCAGAATAGTTTGCTGCAGTTGATTCTGAGTGGTTCAGCGGCACATCCAGCGATGGAAGTATGGAATCGAGGGGATCGCAAAAATCACTGAAGTGTTGGTGCTCGAATAAACAAATCGGCAACATCCTTCATTATATAAAATGTTTACTTCTTATTGCTCTGGACAAAAGTCGTTTCCGCAGTTTTAGTAGCCTCATCGGAGGTTTTCGTTTGTATCTCAGCTGATTAGACGCATTGTACTATGGTGTAATGAAAATACGCCGAAGAATAGAGTCAAAGTGATACCTTTTTTATGAATAAACTGGCTCTTGACAATGTATTTGACGAAATATCTCTGGATTGTAGCACGGTCCACAATCTCGAGAATGCGTGGCTTGCCTACGACAGCAACATTTGTCATAGTTCCTAGAATTGAGTGGCATCGAATTTATATGTATAAAAGACGACACAAACATGGAAGATAACCTTGCACTAATTTCTGAACAACACGAATTGGAATACTGTACGCGTAGTTGTGCCCAGCAAATGGATCGCTCATCAAATGGCATGCAGTTGTAGCATCCATAGCTACTCGGACATCATTTTGAAGACAAAGCGATGTTATGATCTGAGTAAGAGGGAGAACATTGGAGACCAATAAGTTTTTTTATTCAAAATGGAGGAGCAACAGGCAGATAGAATTTCTTTTCAAAATAAAATAAGAAGTGCATATTCAATTTTCAAGCAGTTCCGCAAACTCGTAAACGGTGAAAATGGGTACACGTTTCAGCAAACTTGCACGGGAAAAATGCTTAGTCAAAGCAGCGATTTTTGAAGAAATACATACCATTAGATGTAGTTTTGTGATTCAAACTTTGTGTCCATATGTACGAAGCAATTCACTAATAGATGACAAAGGCTTTTCTCTGACAAAAACAGGCTTTTCAGCCTGTTAATAATTGACCTAAGATGCCAAAGACCCAAAACGATGACGCAAGGAGTTATTATTTGATAGAATTGTCTTTTCAACAATTCAGCTTCTGTGCTATTTTGGGTTAAAGAAAAGCTTTTGCACATTTTCTAAAGATTTTGCAAGCCACTTTTAAAGCGAAAAAACGTTTACATTTCTACCAAAGATTGCTTCGCAGATATAGAAAAGATTTGAAATCAGCGTTCTAAGCTGTATCTAATAATATGATTAAAAATCTTCATATTGTTAGATACAGCTTCATTTCGACTAAGCATCTTTCCTTGTAAACTAACTCCTCAT